TTACTTGAAAAAAGTAATCAGATTACAGTAACGCGTTACAAGTACAAGTTACTGCCCATCTCTGGTCACGAGTGACTAAAGGTCCTTTAATGGGGAAGTGCAGTGCCAAAATCAGTGAGGGCCAACTCAGACCTCCCAGATGGGACTCTGCTTTTCCCAAAGGTTTGATCATTCAATGCTGTCCGATGACTCAGTAACAACTTTAATATCTGGACATACAGTCAGGGTTAGAGTGGGTACCTAGAGTTTCTAGGGTCGCCTCTGTGAGTCCTCAAACATAGTGGGTGGTTTAGCAGTGCCTTCCCTTTAAATCCATGTTTTCCTTTAGGATGGTGTTCTTCTCGGAGCGGTGGGCGCCTATGACTGGAATGGTGCCGTGCTGAAAGAAAGCAAACACGGGAAAGTTGTTCCACCGAAATCATCCTACCAGGATGAGTTTCCAGAGGAGCTGAAGAACCATGCAGCCTATCTGGGTAATATTGATATAAAGTGTACAATATGATATGTGATATACCAGCCTGTAGTCTGTGGGTCTTCAGAAGGAATGGTGAGCACAGGGGTTGTATAGCTGCGATACATGAGATCACTCTAAGGCTATGCCCTCTATGATGTCATACAGATTCAGTAGTAGAAATAAAACATGATAAACTGACTGTTTAGAGCAGTCTGAAGTGTGTGTTTGGCCCATTCTGGTCACATTACTAGAAACTTTAGTCAGGTTTAATGGGAACATCCCCCTTTGGAACAGGAAACATATGACAGGAAATAAGAAAATGCAGAGTCGGTCTACTTTAAGCTTTCTTACCTTGGAAGAATCCGAGGAAATAGGTTTAACAAAATGGAACGGTCAATGTGTGCACGTCAAACGAATCAGTTTTTCATCTTCTTTCAGGCTACTCGGTGGGTTCACTCATTTCATCCCGCGGCTCTCAGCTTTATGTAGCTGGAGCTCCAAGATTCAACCACACTGGAAAGGTGATCATATTCACCCTGAAGAACAGTGGAGACCTGACCATCTGGCATGCACTGCTGGGAGAGCAGGTGTGTTTTAATCCACTGTGACCATATTTGAATGAATCAAACCTGGTGGACATTCAGGTTTCTCTTCCTTGGTGTAATATCTTGTTTCGTTTCTATGGTTTATTTGTGTTTTTGTCTAGATTGGGTCATACTTTGGCAGTGAGTTGCTATCGATGGACATTGACAGTGACGGACAGACTGATGTCCTCCTGGTGGCAGCACCCATGTACTACAGCCATGGCTGGGAGAGAGGCAAGGTTTACATCTACTCTGTTACACCGCAGGTATAAAAACCACGTACTGCTACAAAGGAGCAACCAATTTCTCTGTAACTGTCATTATAGCAGAAGACGTTGTCACAAGATGATAACCCCACACAAGAGTCATGGACAAATTATGAGACAAAAGGTCCAGTGCACAGATTGGTAAAAGTACCTCAACCCCACTGACAGCTTTATCTAGTTTTATCTCTTCAGGTTCTCAAAAAAGAAGGCAGGCAGACTTCTTTAGGCTCAAACCTAAAGGTGTCCAGCTGTCTTCTTTTTCAAGCTCTTAAAACTAGCATGACCTGGATGACTGAGAGCCACAGAGGTTCAACTGGTGGTCAGTTTGCTGGTTTTCGTGATTATTTTGAGTTTCTCTCTCCTCCTGATTGGTTTCTGTGTCGTTTTGAATGTTTTTCACTTGTTTTAAAACGGTGAAAAAGAGTTGCAGAATTATCTGTCGCTTTGTGATTGTTTGTTGGACTGACCTTCCAACAACAAATGTGAACTATGACTTCAAACAGAGCCTTGTTCATGCCCCAGCTGTGTGCTGTTAGGCCTGTTCAGTAATCTGTCCACGACTGGATTGAAATTACTTTTATAAATGAAACCTTGATTAATAAAGAACAAAACCTGAACCAAAGAATGTTTTGTTTCTGTCCAGACGTCGTTTGTCCTGCAGGGGGTGCTGGAAGTGTCTGACCACTCCCAAAACTCCCGTCTGGGCTCAGCGTTGGCTCAGGTACCTGACATGAATGGAGACGGGTTCAAAGAGCTTGTTGTGGGAGCACCACTGGAGGATGACCACCAGGGGACAGTCTACGTCTTCCATGGCAAAGACAAAACCATCCAGCTTCAGTACAGACAGGTAACCAGTCCGGATGCTAAGGGACCTTAGCTGGAAGAGATAATGCAGCATCAGAGAGCCCAGAGAGTTTTAATCTTCTCTCGTTTTGCTTCTCCAGCGTCTGCCTGCGGCTGGTTTTTCTGCAGGTCTTCAGTATTTTGGCCAAAGCCTTCATGGCGTCTTGGACATCAATGCAGACGGACTTGTCGACCTCGCAGTGGGAGCGCTGGGAGCTGCTGTCATTGTCTGGTCAGAGCCTCATTCATAAACTGACAGATGATTTGACCCTGTAAGGCTGGAAAAACAAATCAAATCGGCGTTCTTTCTAAAGGCCAGCAGGGGGCGACTCCTCTGAAGTCTGGCTGTAGAAGTTTATGAGAAAATGAGCCTCCAGCTCACTTAAATACTGACCTAAACACTTGTGATGAGGTTAAGCTTTAATGACTGTGTTCAAAGCATCTTCAACACAACATGATGTCTTTTCAGTAAACAAGGGTCAGAAAGCAGGGGATAATTTAGGGCGTGGCTAACTTGTGTTTGACAAGTCACCTCCCAATAGGTGTTTTTTCCTTCTGACAAACTCAGGCCCTCAGATTGCAACAACCTCATACAGGCTCAAAGTTACAGCAACCAGACTCACGATGAGTCACCACCACCTATGAGGGATCAATGTGGTCCATAGGAAACTATAGACAGACTCTTCCTATCAGATTGGAGGGCATTGCACTCACTGAGGAGTCTTTGTGAAACCAAACCCTAGTTTAAGTACATCCAGTAAAACAGAGTTATGCGGTACCTGACTCTCCACAGTTTGGAACTCCAATACGCACAAACACTCATAATAAGCATGCTTCATCCCTGCAGGTCTCGTGGTGTGGTGCAGATTCAGGCTAAACTAACCTTTGAACCCGAGAAGGTCAACATCTTTAACAAGGACTGCCAGCGAGGAGGGAAGGAGGTCACCTGCATGTCCGTGATCGTCTGTCTGAGTCTGGACTTCAGGACAAAGACCAGGACGAAGACCAGGAAAGATGTTGGTAGGAGTACACAAACATGTCCGCTTATTCACCTGCGTGGGATTTGATCACCACACTGAAAGGTCCTGCCTCAGGTTCAGGCACGTTTTCCTCAGAAATGACATTTAAATCAATCTCAAATGAGCTTTTGAATCAAATCAAAAAACTGGATCCACACATAGAGTTCAAAGATCCAGAAACATTATTATCACTTTGACCCTCTGATTGAAGGAGAGGTCAGAGGTCAAATGTGACATATTTCAAATGCAGTGGTACTTTCTATATGTTGACAACACACAGCACAGTTGTAATGATTATAGTTTCTAAGTTCTGAGGATTTTTGTTAACTTTCCACTGACAAATCATGAAGGCGACCTTGAAGATCTCGGTGGATGGAAGTCAAAGTTTAATGGATTGTTGACATGACCCCGCTCTACACCTCGACACCACTAGTTCCCTCACCGGAGGTAACCATGGTGCATCATCTTATCTCTGGAACCTGGCCCACAGGAGACGCAGCACCCATCTGAGAGGAAAATGTACATCCTAGGACTTGTGCCTAGAGACCTGAGCCTAGCAGCAAAGCTGGACGAGGTCCAGGGGTGAAGGAGAAGATGACTTTGAGCGGGAGGTTGGCGTGATTCTGTCTTTAGTGTTTGTTATGAGTTACAAATCGCTTCCTTCTGTTTTTACATCTGGCAGCATTCACACTTTCCTGGAAATGAGGTCGGCCGCTAACAAAAGCCAAATTTGTGTCCGAAGGAAAAAGGTAGCAGCTAATCTGCTGTTGTGATGTCACAGTATGAGATCATCCTGGAAGAGCTCATCAGTCTCTCTCTGAACCGGCCGAGTTCACGTGTCATTCAAAAGAAGAGAAATATGAATTCTTCTTCTTCTGCTAACAGCTGTGCAGCGTTGCAGCTGAGTGGACGCAGCTGTTTTCTGTCTGTGTGGAGGGAAGCTTGTCGTGGTCGCAGAGGCCCGCGCTGTTGTCGTGTCTCTGTGTGTAACCAGCTCCAGATGTTTGGGCCGGCTGCATGGAAACCTCCCTAACATGCTAACGCCAGCCAGCTGTTTAACTGTGTCGCTGCTTCTCTCTCCGTCACCTCAGACCTTCTTCACGTCTCCCTCTCCTCGAGCTCCTTATTGCCCACCCGCCTCCCTAAGCGTCCAGCCTGGATTGGACGTTACAGAAACACGAATACGAGCGTGGCTCAACAGATCGAAGATCTGAGCCACAGGCTGAACCTCTGTTTGATTGGACCAAATATCGACCCGTTTTTGTCAGTGTGGACGTGGCGTTTCTGACACCAGCTGAGCAGCAGCTTACCTCGGCTCTCCGTGCTCTCATAAATCAAACTCAGTTGTTAAACAGATGAACACGAGCTCTGCAGTTACACTGTAGGCTGCTGCATCCAGCAACTAATAAGGACGCAGGAAATGCGTCACTTCATTACTGTAGATCAAGCACTAAGAAGTAGTTGCTGTATTTTACGCGTGCGTTGCTATTATGAAAGTTTCTAAAGGCTCTCAGACTGAAGAACAGTTTGGCTGCATGCAGTTTCAGACATTAGCTGCACACGGAGATGAAGAACACACACCGGCAACGTGTTTGTGAAAGCTCACGAAGGTCCAGATAACGGACTGACACCAGCTGCATTGTCAACATATTTCTTTATTAGGATCTGCTTTAGTTTAGCCTGAAAGCACGACGAGTCCCGGACATAAAAACAAACATCAGCACAGCACTGAAACTTCAGTAATACAACCACACCCGAGTTCAACCTTCACAGGTATTGTTTTGATGACTTAATGAAGAACCTGAATCAGACCCAGGATCAGGGAGAGGCAGCTACCTGCTAGTTTGCAGGATCCAGATTCTTACTCTGGATGGCATTACCTTGGCCTCCAGTAACACTGTGAGGAACCTTGGAGTCATGTTTGACCAGGACATGTCCTTCAACGCACATATTAAACAAATATGTAAGACTGCGTTCTTCCATTTGTGCAACATCTCTAAAGTTAGAAATATCCTGTCTCAGAGTGACGCTGAAAAACTAGTTCATGCATTTATTACTTCCAGGCTGGACGACTGTAATTCATTATTATCAGGAAGTCCTAAAAACTCCCTGAAAGCCTTCAGCTGATCCAAAATGCTGCAGCAAGAGTCCTGACAGGGACTAGAAAGAGAGCAGATTTCTCCTGTTTTGGCTTCCTGTTAAATCCAGAATTCAAAATCCTGCTGCTCACATACAAGGTCTTAAATAATCAGGCCCCATCTTATCTTAATGACCTTGTAGTACCATATCACCCTATTAGAGCACTTGGCTCTCGCTCTGCAGGCCTACTTGTTGTTCCTAGAGTATTTAAAAGTAGAATGGGAGGCAGAGCCTTCAGTTTTCAGGCCCCTCTTCTGTGGAACCAGCTTCCAGTTTGGATTCAGGAGACAGACACTATCTCTACTTTCAAGATCAGGCTTCAAACTTTCCTTTTTGCTAAAGCATATAGTTAGGGCTGGACCAGGTGATCCCCTCTTGTCCCTCCCAACGTGTTTATATTACACAATTTCTTTTATTTTTCATGGTCACTATGTGTTCTCTTCTGCCCCTCCCTAATCTTGAGTTCTCCCTCCCCAGTGTTGCTAAGTGGTGACCATTGATAAGCATCTGACTGTTGTGGTTTTCTCCCTAACACTGTAGGTTCTTTACTTTCATATAAAGTACCTTTGAGGCGACTGCTGAATGAATATTACAGTGTACAGTTCCCTCTTTACAGGAAGCTGTAAAGCTGGTACTTGATTATGTTGTGAAACAATAGTCGGTGGACTTGTTTCTAATTTATTCCAAAACATTTTTGGAAGCATAAGTGGAGCAGTTCGGACTAACGACTATAAAAGATGACATCACTTCCTTTCATATCCTCTGAAGGACCTGTAAAAGTCTGCTCTCTTTGTATTTACAGTCTCATTGTGCCACATTAAGCCTCTGTTTCAGCTCACATTTTCCTTCTCCTCTTCAGCGGTCTGGTACAGTCTGCTGTTGGATGAGAGGCGTTTCCCTCCCCGGGCAGTGCTGGACGAATCGGATCGACAGCAGCCCCGAAGTTTGTTTCTGCAGACAGGAAGTCAGATATGCAAACGCCTTGGCTTCTCCGTCCAGGTCAGAAACAGCCCGGGCACAATCACGGTCAAATGATTCCCATTAGGTGTGAGTCCTTAAACAAATGTAATACGACAAACAGGAGACGACAGATTACGGGCGTCCCATAGTTGTCGTCCTGGAGACAGGATTGCAGAACCCAGACGAGGGGCCGGTGTTGGACCCGGACTGGCAGAGCACCCAAAGAACCGAGGTGAGAGCTTCGAACACGGGTTTGAACTGCCTGATTAGCTTCAGAGCAGAGAAATATTTTTTGCACAGAACACTTTTTATAAAGTGAAAAAAGGTAAGAAAGAAGTTGTTGTTCAGAGCAGACCAGAGTCAGCTTCTCTGAGATGTATTTTTCTGATGGGAAGATGATAATCTGAAAGCTTTGGATTTACTGGTCAATCTTTAACCCGCCCTTGTGGTCACGATCTGGGTAACAGCCTGAAGTATGAGGTCAGCTCCTCTGAGTTTCCTCTGAAAGGTGAAGAGTTCAGACATCCTGACGGAGCTGGAAGTTGGCTCCAACTTCATGTCAAGAGGAGCCAGTTCAGGGACGTTGGGCAACTAATCAGGCTCTTCCCTGGAGGGCGGGGTACATTTAGAATTGCTAGATATCTGTTATACATACATACATACATACATACATACATACTAATAATACCACGACACAACAACACACACCACAACACACCACACACACCAAAAGACCAACACAAAGTGATGCACATGAGAGAAGGGAGGTGGAACGAACATACATGATTCCAAACATTGTTTTACAAATAAATAACTGCAAAGTGGGGTGTGCGTAATTATTCAGCCCCCTGAGTCAATACTTTGTAGAACCAGCTTTTGCTGCAGTTCCAGCTGCCAGTCTTTTAGGGTCTGTCTCTACCAGCTTTGCACATCTACAGACTGAATCTTTGCCCATTCTTCTTTGAAACAGCTCCAGCTCAGTCAGATTAGATGGACAGCGTTTATGAACAGCAGCTTTCAGATCTTGCCACAGATTCTGGATTGGATTTAGACAGCAGACAAGTGAGGGATAAAGTTATTGAATAATTACGCACACCCCACTTTGCAGTTATTTATTTGTAAAACATGTTTGGAATCATGTCTGATTTTCGTTCCACTTCTCACGTGTGCACCACTTTGTGTTGGTCTTTCATGTGGAATTCCAATAACACTGATTCATGTTTGTGGCTGTAATGTGACAAAATGTGGGAAAGTTCAAGGGGCCGAATACTTTTGTAAGCCTGTCGTCTGTACTGGAAGTATCTCAGAATTCTCCCTTCAGTGTTTATGTCCTGCAACAAATGGATAAATGCGTTAATCATCTGTTTTTCCCTGTAGATTCACTTCTGGAACGGATGTGAGCAGGAAGACACCTGCGTTCCTGACCTCATCCTCCATAGTCACACGGACCTGATGAGTGCTCAGTGAGTAACCCGGTCTCCACTAAACTAATCTCTCACATCTATCCGTGTAAATTATTAAGAGACTGGTAATTATTTCTTTGCTTCACCTGTAGGCAGTTCTGTAGGTCGAACCGATGGGCTGCCAGCTCCATCTGCAGCCACCAGGGGGCGCCTGAGAGGCAGCCGTTTGTCGTGGAGTCCGAGCGAAGGAGGATGGTGGTGTTCGCCCGACTGGAGAACCAGGGAGAGAACGCATACGGAGCTGCCATCCACATCTCCACCTCCTCCAACCTGATCTTCTCCAGCCTCTTAGTGAAGGTACTCAAACTTTCTGTCCTCATCCTAAAAAGGTCAAAGTGCATGCTGGATTCATGTTATGCCGCCTCTTCCCTCAGGACCAATCAGATATCCAGATTGAGTGTTCCTCTGAGGACAGACTGGCGACCCAGAGGATCTGCAACATCAGCGCGCCATTCATGAAGTCGCTGTCTCAGGTAGGGCAGCGCTATTTTCATTCAAATGATGATTTTGGGATGAAAAAAGGATCGACCACCTGCAGTTTCCTCATTGGTTATTATTGTTGCCCTGATACAACAGCCCTTTGTTTAGGGTGATGGAGCTTCTTCTTCCTCCTAAATATGTGGACAGGTTTGAACATCACAGATAAACAGGTTATTAGCTCATCATACCGCTGTTATACAGCCAGACTAATAACAGTGATTAAACTGGGCAGAAATATGCTGCCAATGATAGCTGCTGACTAAAATCCTTCATTACCTTAACGAGTGTCCCTGTAAACATGACCGTGATCCCCACCCCTCACTGTGAGGCCCCTCAGGGCTGCTGTGTGAATAAGACTGAGCTGGAGATTATTTCCAGCTTCCTGTTAAAAAGGCTCCGGCTGCTGGTTGGGGGGAGAACACAGCCGGAGGGAAAACGGGTTCAGCCGCAGACGACGACAGGCTGCAGTGGAAAATAAAATAAATAAAAAACAGAAAACAAAGAAGCTTCACATGATGATGTGATGGAGCAGACATTTAACGTTCTGACTAAAATGTTCTAATTAAGGATGTTAGGCCAGGAGAAGGAGACGATTAAATGTTTTTGAGCCTGAGAGGATGAATTTGCACCTGCTCCTTTCCTGTCCAGGTAACTTTCAATGTGGAGTTTGAGTTCAGCCGCTACATCTTCCTGGATTACGTACATGTGGTCATGGTAACTACCAGGTAAGACAACTGAACATGTGTAATGTGATGTCACAGAAGTAAATCACGATTATTATTTTCTGTCCTCTGACGAGATTTTATACAACAATATTAAGGAGAACCAAAACTCCATCCTGTGATTCACAGGGTAGGATCGGGGCGATCGGGGTGCGATCGGGATAGGATCGGGGTTATCGGGGTAGGATCGGGGCGATCGGGGTAGGATGAGCTGTTTGACCTCAGAGAGGTAAACTTAGTGGTACCGCTGTGTTCTGGGACCTCCTTGTGTCATGAGTCGCTGTGCGGCAGGAAGGAGTTGGACCCAAAATGCAGGCACTCAGGCACGAGGTTTAAACACGAAGAACTCGCTTTATTTGCTGGCAGGAAAAAGTCATACAAACGTAAACTAAACCCACAGAGAGACACAGGGAGATCCACACAGCATGAGGGGCGACGCGACACTGACTCAGAGAAACACAGGGTTTAAATACACTGGGAAGTAACGAGGGGAATGAGACACAGAAGGAGGGCACAGCTGGGAGAAATCAGGACTGACGAGACAAGCAAAGCAGGACACATTCACATAAGACACGGACCTTCAAAGTAAAACAGGAAGTATGACACAGAGATGCGAACTTGACACAGTGGAGACAGCAACTAAGAAACACAGAGACATAAACCATAAGGCAGAGGACTCTAAGAACCGAGAGACACAGAGGGGAACTCAACATGCAGACAGAACAGAGGGGACACATGAAGGGCAAGGGATCGAAACTAGAAACCATAGAATAACTCACACAAGTACGATAATACAAACATCACAAAGAACTAAACATGCTGGGTCAGGAGACCCAGGACCCTGACACCTTGACGTCCGTTGGGGAGAACATCATGAAGAATAGATATGAAATGAGACAGCTGGAGTGGAGGTGGGTTGCAGAGAGGCTGACAGCAGCAGCAGGTGAAAGCAGCCTAAAATATGATTATCAGGGTCCTGAGTAGGAATGTGCGAACCAAATGAGAAGCGTGTGGAACACAGGGAATCACTGCAAAGCTGCAGGGAAGCAGCTGCTGACGGAATCAGCTCATCGGGAACAGGTGAGATGAAGAGTGTACATCTGAACCTGACGAGGACGGGCAGACACAGAAAACTGACAACCTAAATATAGCAGGAGAAATGTGTGAGCAGTATATTTTTAACTGACGTGTTATTGTAATCAGTCTTTATCTTATTTATTGTAACATTTATTATATGATATTTTATATAATATTTTATTATATCAATACTATTCTGATTAGGTCGTATTTTAACCGTAGCACAGAGATGTAAGTAACTAGCTAGTTCTTCGTGGTCAATGACAAATAATTATTTAATCCCTGATCCAGTTTCATAAAACATCAGCTGGGAATCTGCGCCGTGTTCATTAAAGAGGAAAGGATGAGGTTATGCGAGTCTTCTGCCCTGACTGCTGCAGGATTAGATTAAAAGTTATGGATGGATTTGCGTGAAAGTGTTCCCAGAGGTAGCGAAGTGATCAACTTTTGGAGTCGATTAACATCTGGATCTGGATCCAGGAATTTCCAGAAGGATCGTTTATGGCTGCGAGACAGGAGACCAGGTGAATTCCTACCTGAGCGTGTGTGATGGTGTTTTGGTGATTACTCACAGATGAATCCAGATCCAGGGACTCGGGTATCGCTGTTCAGCTTCATGAAGCAGAAGAAATTACAAGAAAACCGATGATATGATTTAAAGACGGAAACAGTAAAACATTAAACAGACGATAAAAACTTGATTTTAAGAAACCCAGTCCATACAGGTTTGGTTTCTAAATGTTTTGTTTAAAGGAGGAAAGAGGAAGTTTGCTCCAAATAAAAGAATCACTTCCTGTGGGAGGTTTGACTGTGATGGCGAAGGCTCGATGATTGGTGCGACCAAAGAAACACCTGGATGCATCTGATTGGTCAGATGGAGCCAGATGTATGTCATAATTTATGGACACGTGGTGGGACGAGCGCGATTCTCTCCTGCTCATCTTGGACAAAGTTTAAACCTTTCATTTATTTTGGTGGTAACACAGCCTGGAGTGTTTGGTTGAGTATTTGTCGGTAAATATAAATAAAATTCTTTGAATTATTTGTAATCACAGATTAATTATGCTCTTCGCCGTGGGCTGTATTGTAAAGTGTTACCGTTGAACTTTCAAGCTTTCGTCCTTTTAAGCGTGCTTATCTGTGTGTTACTCAGTGAGGGGGACGAGGGTTACCCGGACGACAACACCAATGACATCTTCCTCCCCCTGAAATACCAAACCGAGCTCCTCTTCACCAGGTGGCTGAAGCTTTTGAGCTTTTTGTGATTTGAAAGTTTAAAAAGTTGCACGTGCGCATTCAGAAGAGTTCACGTGTGTCTGCTTTCTTCCTTCTCTGGACAGAGACCCCTACCCTCCTCGTTTTGTAATCAGAGCTGACTCCTCCTCCTCTTCGTCCTGGGACCAATCAGACAGCAGCTCTCACACCTTCAACCTCTCCTATTACGTGAGTGAAACAAACTGTTGCAGATGTTTGCAGATGTTTGCTCATAAAGACGTTCTGATGCGGTTCTCCCGTGTGTGCAGATCCAGAACCTGGGCCTGTTCTCGGTGCAGGGCGTCCTGTTCGGGGCTGATATCTGGGCTGTGACCATGAGAGGAAACCAGCTGCTGAACATTACGGACGTCAGCATCGAACAGGTGACGCTGGAAATCTTTGTGCTGTGGTTATCTCTGTTCACCGACGCTGCAGGAACAGATGGCTCGCTTGAATGAGCCTTCCCCGTACTTTCAGGTTTTACCCTTAATGAAGGATTAAATCGATTTAAAATGAAACTCCCGCCTTTGTTGCTGCAAAGCCCTCAGCTTTCACTGTACAGGCATCACTTATTCACTAAACTGTGAGGAGCGTGAGTGACAGCAGCGCCGCCTGCCTGTCACATATCTACTGCAAACGGAGGGTTTCTCTTTTTCTGTCCTGTCGCCGTGTTTCTGACTTACTGTGCTCAGCTGCTTTTTTAATGTTTTGGCCCAGATTGGCGAAGCAGCAATTAGAGCTAGAGGTTACCATTATAACGGAGTCCTCCTCTTCCTCCCAGCAGGCAGCGGGATCCCACTGCACACTGCCTCACGTTAGAATGAGCAGTCCTGTCACACCTGAGGATCTGACTCACCTGTCACAGCTGGTAAGGCTGAAGGAGCCTGTTAGTCAGGATAACAGTGGAGTTAAACAGCAGTGTTTCACAGAGTGTGTGTGTGTGTGTGTGTGTGTGTGTGTGTGTGTGTGTGTGTGTGTGTGTGTGTGTGTGAGACAGAGAGAGAGAGAGAGTCACAGAGAGAGAGAAAGAGAGAGAGAGAGAGCCTCTTTATGGGATGATCCCATTGTGTGTGTGT